CTAAAGGACTTTCTAACACTTGTCCAAACAAGCCAGAGGGAGTTGAGTGACATAGGGCTTGAGAGCACTCTGCATGTGGGCACAACCAAGGAGGTGTCCTGAGTGAGCAGCTGTATCCTGAGTCATTCTTATCACTGAATTATAACCTGTGGCTTCCTTAACAGCCCCCAGAACTGTGAATATAGCCTGTGAGTTCTACGTGGCCATGTATAAAATATCAAACCCAGCAGACAAGCAGAAAGACTGGAACGGACAGTTGGTGTTAGAATAAGTAAAAGGGTGAAGAGAGGTTGTTAAGTCTGGCCTCTGCTTCATAGAAATCAGTCTGGGGCTATTGATGCTGATAAGGATTCTCTCTCATTCCCTTTGCAAAGTAGACAAGGAAGCCTGACACTGCCACCATGCCATTTTCACACAAGCTAAGTAGACTTCTGGAAAAGACAAATGACTCCTTCCCCTGTACACATACGCAAAGACATGTACACAAGTACAAAGAGAACAATCTGAGAACAACATGCTTTTTGTGTGCATTTATTTTCTTAGATCTTAACCTACCTCTCACCCAAAAACTACAGTGATTTAGTATGATACAGTTAAGCATTTACATAATAATTTCAAGATGGTGGATGAAAGGGAAAAATGTTACCCACAATATACTTCAAAAGAATAGAATGTATTTATATGAAGCACACAAAGCAAGACCCAACATTTTCCTTCTGAAACATGTGGCCAATTTGATGTCCCTATGTGGTGGCTTGAAAACACAAAATTAAAAGTTGTAGCATTTCTCTAGAGTGGTTTTGAACACACAACATTGTATAAGATCACCAAAGCAATGCACAGTAACAAAATTACTTCACACAGTGGAAAAGGTCTGATTATCATTTCACTATCCTATGCAAGTACCACTTCACCTAAAAACCACTGAAATTAATTGAAAACTTAAACTAAATAAAAGTGATAGGATTTACTATGTACATTAAACTGTTAAATCTGTTATTAAAGAAAAAGAGATGGAAACTATTTTAATAATCTGTTTGTGTAAAATGAAGAAGGGAGGGAAAAGGCTTGAAACATCAAAAATATTAAGATCAAGCAATATCCCCAACTTCTTTTAATACTCTAAGACTAAAACAGTCCCTTCCAGTCATCTCCAGGGCTAAGTGTTTGAAACCGACATTTTGAAATCTAGATTATGATATACACTGAGTCTCTTTGTCTCCCCAACGTATCTCCTCTTTGTAACAACTGTTTCCTAAAATTATCTTAAAAAGTCCATTGCCATAATCAAGAACAATCACTGGTCAACACATTAACCAGTTCAGTCCAAAGGAAAAGTGTTGTCTTTAAATGCTAATAATGAGTAGTGCAATTTTTCTTTTCGCACCAAAAGAAAAAAAAAATTTTTTAACCTATAATGACTTCATGAATTGTCACAGGAAATTATTGATAGTGATACAGAGAGCAATGATAGTTCATGACAATACTGTCCAGGGAGATACAACTACCGATTTGCAAAAATTATAAGGAATAGAGGAACATGCTAAACTGCACCATAAACAGGTGATGAGCAAAACTTTGAAGGAAACTTTACAGAACGAACAATTGAAGTTCCTTTATAGAAACAGTTTTGCTTTTGCACAATTCTGTCATAGACAAATTTAAGCTATCATAATTTAGTTAAATAGTACTAGTCATCCAACAACACAATTTACATTTCACTCACTGTGGGAGTCTATTATGGGAAATGCAATGGCTCTGTAGTATAAGCACTGGACTGAAGATCCACAAGGACGGCAGTTTGAGCCCATCAGCCACATTGCAGAAGAAAGATGATTTTCTCTGCTCATGCAAAGACTTGTTGTTGTTGTTATGTGCCATCAAGCATGCAAAGACTTATAGCCACAGAAACCCTATACAGGGTAGCTATGAGAAGGAATTGACTCAACAGCACTTAACAGTAGCAACATCATATATTAATTAAGGGTCTTGGTGTGGCACTGTAGGGTAACTACTTCACAGCAGCAACACAGTACATTAAGAAGAAGTATATGCAATACAAACTTCACTGCTAGTTCCTTAGTGCACATCATGATGTCTGGTGAATAACATCACTTCCTTCAAAGTGTCACTGTACATACAGAACAAAGGGTGTTGTTATGTGGCCCTCTTATTTCCCAGTGATAACTTCACGTAACAGTTTACAAACCTGGAAAATCCAAAGAGGGAACTGGCCAACAATGAAACAACAAATGATAATGTTGGACGTGAAAGTTGAATTCAACATAATGAATTTCTTCTAAAAGTACAGAAGAATTTACTTGAAAATGGGAATGTTTGACATTGCTACAGTGTAAGAAACTCTAGATATGCAGTCAGATAAACTCAGTAAAGGCAAACTTATCACCATGAATAAGGAACATACTTTTTTTGTGACAAAAAGGATGATGGTCTCCCGCTGGCAAAGTACTTTACATTCAGTGGGGATGTTGCTATTAGGTGCTTTTGAGTCAGAACTGACTCTAGTAACTTTATTTACAATAGAACAAATCCAGTGCCATCCTCACAACTATCCTCACAAACAACTGTCCACATCCACACATTGATCTTGACTGACAACGTGTCCAAAGTACAAGAGACAAAGTCTCAGCACCCTCGTTTTGAGAAGCACCCTGGCTGTACTGCTTACAAAACACATTTGTTCATTTTCCTGGAAGTCCATAGTATAGTCAGTATTCTTCACCAACACCAAAATTCAAAGGTATCAATTCTTTAGTCTGCCTTACCATTGTCCTGCTTTTATATGTAGATGAGGCAATTGAAATCAGTCCCTGGAAATGACAACATGCTTAGCAAACTAGAGGGTCAGCAGTGAAACGCTTAGCATTGTACCACCAAGGCACCTTAATGTATTAATAGCTACCAGCCACTCTGCGAGAGAAAGATAAGGCGTTCTGCTCCCATAAACATTTACAGCCTTGGAAACCCTGCACAGGGGCACTATGAGTTGGAACCGACTCAACGGCACTCAACAACAACAACAACATCAGCATTGGATTATCAACCACCAGATTGGCAGTTCAAACCCACCAGCTGATCCTCAGAAATCCTATATGCAAGGGTCACTATAAGTTGGAACTGACTTAATGGCATTAACAACAACAACATTTAAACCTATAAAACATTATGCTGAAGGGTGTGTGAGGGCCACAATATTCAGAAAGTTACATTGAGGGTGTTGTAACCAATGTCAAAGCAAAATGGGTTTAAATTTAGAATAAAAAACTAATTTGCTTTGTAAACTTTCACCCATGCCAAAGGCAAAAAAAAAGAAAAAAAGAACCTGCAATGGAATGGTATTAGTCATTTTGACTAATTATAACACTATTATATATATTTACATACCAACCACTAAAGCCAATGATGATGAAATTGAAGAATTCTACCAACTTCTTCAGTCTGAAATTGGTCAAACATGCAGTCAAGATGCATTAATAATTACTAGTGATTGGAATCTGAAGACTAGAAACAAACAGGCAGGATAGATAGTTGGAAAACATGGCCTTGGTGATGGAAACAATGCTAGAGATCTCATGGTAGAATTTTGCAAGACCAATGAATTATTCATTCTAAATAAATACATTTTATTAAACAACATAAAAGGATCTCACCAGGTGGAATACACAGGAATCAAATTGACTATGTCTGTGGGAAGAGACGGTGGAAAAGCTCAATATCATCAGTTAAAATATGCCAGGGGCTGACTGAAATAGACCACTAAATGCATATGGTGGTGGTGGTGAGTATGTGCCATGGAGTCGGTTTCACCTCATAGCGACCCTGTACAGGGTTTCTGAGGCTGTAAATCTTTACAGGAGCAGAAAGTCTCATCTTTCTCCTGCGGAACAGTGGTAGTTTCGAACAGCTGACCATGAAGTTTGCAGCCCGATTTGAAACCACTACGCTACCAGAGCTCCATCAACTGCATATATGCATGGTTAAAGCTGAAGAAAATGAAAACAAGTCCACAAGAGCCAAAATATGACCTTGAACATTTGCCACCTAAGTTTAGAGACCATCTCAAGAAACAATTGACGAATTAGGCACTAACGGCCACAGACCGTAAGAGTGGTGGGGTACCATCGAGACTATCATACAGTAAAAAAAACAATAGGTCACTGAAAAGACAGGAAAGAAAGAAAAGACCAAGATGGATCTCAGAAAAGACTCTGGAACTTGCTCTCTAGCATACAGACACTGCAACAAATGAAATAAATGAGGATAAGAGCTGAAGAGAAAATTACAAAGGACAGCTCAAGAATACAAAGTCACATATTATAATGAAATGTGCAAAGACCTGGATATAGAAAATCAAAAGGGAAGAACATACTCAACATTTCTCATACTGAACGAACTGAAGAAAACATTTAAGCCATGACTTGCAATACTGAACGATTCTATGGGCAAAATGGAGCCCTGGTATGGCACTATAAGATAAGCACTGGACTGCTAACCACAAGATCAGCAGTTCAAACTTACCAGCTGCTCCTAGAAATCCCAATACAGGGTTCACTATGCATCAAAACTGACTGGAAAGCACTTAACAACAACATTGGCAAAATATTGACTAAAGCACAAAGCATCAAAAGAAGATAGAAGGAATACACAGTCACTGTACTAAAAAGAAATGGTTGATGTTCAACCACATTTGTTGTTGGTATGTGCTGTCGAGTCAGTTATGACTCATAGAGAACCCTACATAGAGTTTCCAAGGAATGGCTGGTGAGCTTGAACCACCAATCTTGGAGTTCAAATTGACCTTGCAGTCCAGTGTATTAACCAGCAGCACCACACCAGGACTCCTTAACAACCACTTTGAGAGGCAGCATATGATCAAGAACCAATGGTACTGAAGGAAGAAGTCCAAACTGCACTGAAGGCAACTGGTGAAACAAGACTACAGGAATTGATGGAATACCAACTGAAATCTTTCAACAAACTGAAGGCACTGAAGGCATGCCCTCATCTAGGCCAAGAAATATGGAAGATCAACCAGTTGGAAAAGATCCATATTTGTGCCCATTCCAAAGATAAGTGACTCAATGGAATGCAGATATCATTGAACAATATCATATGCAAGTAAAATTTTGCTAAAGATAATTCAAAAACAGTTGTAACAGTACATCTACAGAGAACTGTCAGAAATTCAAGTTGGATTCAGAAGAGGTTGCGGAATGAGAGAAATTACTTCTGACGTCAGATGGATCTTGGCTGAAAGCAGAGAATATCAGAAATACATTTACTTGTGTCTTAATGACTGTGTAAAGGCTTTCATCTGTGTGAATTATGAGAAACTATGGGTAACATGACAAAAAATGAGTGTACCAGAACACCTAACTGTGTTCAGGAGGAATCTGTACATAGGCCAAGAGGCAGTTGTGATAACAGAACACAGGATACCAAATGAAAATCAGGAAAGATGTGAACCAGGGCTGTATCCTTTCACCATAGTTGTCCAATCAGTATGCTGAGCAAATAATCTAAGAAGCGGGATTATACGAAGAATGTGGCTTAACAACCTGAGATATGCAGATGATACAACCAAGCTTGCTGAAAAAAAAGAAGGCTTAAAATACTTACTGATGAAGCTCAAAGACCACCACATTTGGTATGGCTTGCATCTCAACGTAAAGATAACAAAAAATCCTCACCACTGGACCAATAAATAACATCATGATAAAGGGAGAGCAAAGATTGCAGCTGTCAAAGACTTCATTTTACTTCAAAAATGAAGTAAATTATTTATATAAATTACATTCATAATCAACACTCACGGAAGCAACAGTCAAGAAATCAGATAACGTATTGTGTTAGGCAAATCTGCTGCAGGAGACCTCTTTAATGTATTAAAGAGCAAAGATGTCACTTTGAGGACTAAGAGGTGCCTGACCCAAGCTATGGTATTTTTAACTGCTGCATATGCATGTGAAAGCTGGACAAGAGATAGAGCAGACTGTAGGAGAATGGATGCATTTGAATTGTGGTGTTGGAGAAGAATATTAAAGGTACCATTAACTGTCAGAAGAACAAACAAATTTGTATTGAAAGAAGTAGAGCCAGAATTCTTCTTAGGAGCCAGAATGGCAAGACTTCGTCTTTCATTTGATACATTTCAACCTGTCCCTAGAAAAGGACATTATGTTTGGTAAAGTGGAAGGTTGCTGAAAAAGAAGAAGTCTCCTAAGGAGATGGATTGGGACATCGTGGCAGGAACAATGAGTTCAAAGATAACATTTTTAGGATGGCATAGGACTGAAACACAGTGCTTCACTGTGTTGTGCAAACCAACTCAAGGGCACCTAACAACAACTTTGCAAAGCTTCGGTTTGGTCTATCTGTATACCATAGGGAAAGAAAGGGGTAAAAGAAAACTCCAGGATAGTTGCCTGTACCGATGGTGGGCAGTAGAGCAGGAATCTTCATGTTAAAATACAGGATTACAGTTACATAGTCTTTTCATCTTGCAGGAGCTTACCTTTAGGTCATAAAAAATACGAAAAGTAATAGGACAATTACTAAGAATTCATTTTACTCTTTGTTAATATTATTTCTTAAAATCCACTTATCTGAAAGAGACAAAATATGTTTTATTTATGTGTAGATTAGCTGTTTAGCCTACTTTGATTTATAATAGCAAGGAAACATTTTAATTAGGAGAGGAAGATGACAAAAAGCTGTATTATGCTACATAATATAAACTGCCTACCTTATAACTACTCCAAAGACCCCTGGTGGTGCAGTGGTTTAAGCATTAGACTGCTAACAGTAAGGTCAGCTGTTTAAACTCACCAGCTGCTCTACAGGAGAAAGATGAGGTTGTCTGTTCCCATAAAGATTTTCCATTTCAGAAATTCTAAGGAACAGTTCTCCTTTGTCTTATCTGACAGAATCAACATTGATGGCAGAGGATTTCAGTTTTAATATTTATAAATTATTAATATAAAATTTAATAAGTACTCTACTTGCTTTTCCCAAAACTATTACGTTGTTTGAGAAAAGAATATATCTAGCCCTAAGCCATGAACTGAGGAATGGTAATCATGAAAATCCATTAAACTTCCCAGACTCACTTTAAGCTGGGAATAGGTGTGACTGAATTGAGCCCCATCCTCCAATACCCCTCTAAAATAATTAAGGAGAAATCTATTGAAGGGAGCTTCTAGACAAGCTCTTACATTCCAAATAAAAAAGGGGCAGGATAATGCACTGGACCACAAGGTCAATTGGAATTGCAAAGTCAGTATTTCAAACCCACCAGCTGCTCCTGAAAACCCCTGCACAGGATCACTATGAGTTGGAACAGACTGGACAGAACTTACTAACAACAACAACACGTGCAGCACTCCATCCTGCCTGCCTTTCACCTTGAATGCAGATGTGACATCTAAGTTTGCAGAAGCCACATTATATGCATAAGGCAAAACACATGAAAGGCCCAAGAGAATCTCAGTTATGCTGGTCCCAGCATCATTAGAAGCCTTAAATAAAACCAACCACTTCTTATTATTAGGCCAAAAGCAAAAAGCAGGAAACAAATAAAGATTTCCTATGGCACTAGACTGTAAATCACAAGGTCAACAGTTCAAATCCACTAGCTACTCCTTAGACACCCTATACAGTGTCACTCTGAGTCAGAACCGACTCAATGTCACTTAACAACAATAATTAAAGCTACGGGTCAGCATCCTGGTGTGGTGCTATAAGATAAGCACCACACTGACAACCTCAAGTTCAGTTCTTCAAATCCACCAGCCACAAGTTAGAATCCTATACTGGGTCACTAAAAGTCAGAACCTGCTGTAAGGCACAACAAGCTTCCAGTCAGATTTCTTTTTGTTTGCAGCCAAAAGCATTCCATGGAGTAGCCATTCATATTTTAAACTAAATCAAATACAAATGTGTATCAATGATGAGGGGGGGAAAATACTAATTTACTGAGGTAGCAAACTACTTAAATCTTTTTCTTCCTTTCTTTAACTACTTTGTTTTTTATTTTTTCTGTGATGATGTTTGTGCAATCCATTAGTTGTATGAACACAGACACAAGAAATAGATATGTAACAAAAATTTCTAACTTTGTTTTAAAATATTGATTCATTCCATATTTTTAAATTCTTCAAGACTATATTTGCCTCCTCACCACTGAGTAACAAAAACTTGAACATTCAGAGAGTTACCAAACACTCGACTCTTTTTATTATACTTATATACCCAACTCACAGCTTCCTTTATATAGCCACAACAAACAGTAGTACTAGGCCTTAGTCAATGCTTGCTAACCAAAACTATGCTGAAACTGTACACACAGGACAGGGAGAAACAAACTAAATACAGGTCGATTTAGAAAATAGCTATGTGCCCTTTCCTGTTATATTGTTTAAAACATTACTACACTTCCTCTTAAAATTTCTAATTTCCTGCCTCATCAGCTCATTACCTGGTGGTCTTTTCTTTGTGGGTACATGTTTTATTATCTTTACTATAGCAGACAAGACCTCCCAAAGCTTTGCAGCAAACAGTTCTAACACAAAACCTCTGGCCCACATCATTTCCAAAAGGCAGTCGTTTTTGTAGGTCAGTATTAAACACCAAAAGGAAACCAAACCAAACACACTGCCTGGAGATGATGCCAACTCATACAAACCCTGTAAATAGGGTTTCCGAAGTTCTAAATCTTTACAGGAGCAGAAAGTCTCATCTTTCTCTCATGGCACAGCTTATAAATTTGAACCGCCGACCTCGAAATTAGAAGACCAGGGTTTACCCTACAGCACCATCATGGCTCCTAGGACCAACCTTTGCTGTGGTTGTTGTTAAGTGCCTTCTAGTCAGTTCCAACTCATAACGATCCTGTATAGGATTTGAATTACTGATTTGTGGTTCAAAACCAGTGCTTTCTCTATAGCGCCACACTGTTGTTGTTGTTGTTAAGTGCTGTTGAGTTGGTTCCAACCCATAGCGATCGTGTACAGGGTTTCCGAGGCTGTAAATCTTTACGGGAACAGAAAGCCTCATCTTTCTTCCGCAGAGCGGCTGGTAGTTTCGAACTGCTGGTCTTAAGGTTCACAGCCAGATTCGTAACCACTACACTACCAGAGCTCCTTATAGTGCCACACTAGGAGTCCTAAAATCAACATGTTGTTAAGTGTCATCAAGTCAGTTCCTGTATGACGACATCCTGGTGTGGGGCTGTGGGTTGATGCACTGAACTGCAAAGTCGGTTTGAATCACAAAGTTGGCAGGGTCATTGTGGGTGGGAAACCACTCAACGGCACTTAACAACAACATAGAGTTTCCAAGGAGCAGTTGGTGAGCCTGAAACACCAACACTGCAGTTCAAGCCGAACTTTTAGTCCAGCGAACTAACCGACAGAGCCACACCAGGACTCCAAAAATCAACATAATGCTTCATAAATAAATGCTAAAAGTTCATTCTGAACATTATGCTGCTTTATTATCTTTATTTAGTATGTCTAAAACATTGTTTGAATCATGCTGAATTCACTTTTTTTACTATCTCCCTCAAGCCCTTCCCATCCTCCTCAAGAAGATTCCATTCCAGGTAACTTCTTTGGATGTTGTGTATAAAGTTGATGATGACACTTAGCGACCTTATAGGATAGACCAGAACTGCCCTCGTATGATTTCCTAGGCTGAAATCTTTACATCAGGTCTTTTCTCCCACAAAGCAGCTTGTATATTCAAATGATCAACTTTTCAGTTAGTAGCTGAGCTCTTAATCATTGTGCCACTAGATAAGGAGTTTTGTCTTAGGCTAAGTTAATTTAAAGATGAAGGTCACATGATTGGTGGTAGTCCATGGACTCATAGTTCAGCATAGTTCTGATTCATTAATATTTCTTTCTGTTCCTTATAACAGCCCTGTTAAGGAAGTCAAATGTCACTGATTTCTTTTTTTTTTTTTTTTAAAGGGCACTGAAGGTTTGCAATGTTTAATTAT